TGACGCTGCCATCGAGGGTGCCTTGTGTGTTCAGAATCCGGTGAGCAGGTGGATGGCTCACCCTGAGACATGTCACGTTAACCGGGGGTGACGTCTGCTCATGGAAAGGCCTGGGAAGCACAAGTGTGTTCCAACCCTAAGCCAGTTAGTTGCTGGCCGAGGGATCTTCAGCAAACCATTCGCACTCTTGGAACCGCTTTTAGATCTGGGCAGTCTGGACCAGACCAGCATTCGCTAGAGTGCTTCTAAATGTCAAATCAAGGCGGGGCGGCTCTGCTCGGGTGTGGCAGCCACGAGCACCCCTTTGTGGCACAGGAGGTAGCAGCACTTGGCCCCACAAAGGCGGAACGGACTTGAAGATGTGGAGCAAAGCCTATGTCTAAGTGATTCTGTAGCATTCTTGATTAGCAGCCTGTCCTTAACTAGCAAAACATCTGAGATGGTCTTCTACAAATGCCTTTAATGCTACTTGGCCAGCGGCCCTGTTTGAGTCAGATGATGCTTGGGTACCAATCCCCGGAGTCCCGCTGTCTTGCAGGTCAGGCCTCCAGAGTTCTTACTCAGTGTGGAACTGGGGGCCACTGTAGGATGCTGCCGTGAAAGGGAGACTCGTCTATCCATATCTCCCAACTCTTTGTCATCGTTGTTGTTTATTTTCTAATAAGACAGTCCGCTTGGGCTTCTGCTCTCTGGGAACGTTTCCAGGACAATTGCAACTCCCTGGCAGGTCCCACACATACGGTACACCGAACCCCACGAGCTCCCCGCTACCTCCCCTACTGTGTGTTCATCTTCCCCGTATCCTGCTCTTCTCCAAGTGTGGTCTCAAGATTTGCAGCATTGGTACCAGCTAGGAACTTAGACCTCTGGGCCTCCTGGCTCCATACAAGCCGTCCTCCTTCGGATCCTCTCCAGGGGTTAGGGGGCTCACAGACACATACCTAGGGTCTCTGTCTGGAATGGGGGGAGTAACAGTAGAAACTGTTAGGCTCTCCATGAGGGTGGGATACAGTCTTTATGGAAGGCCTGGCAGGGCATAAGCGATGATGGCTGTATTCTCTGTGATGGGCACGATCCTGCGGCATGCAGTTTCATCACAAGCCACCTGGAGAAGACAGGCATCACCATGTCCCTGTGATGGTGTTGTGGCGAGGAGGCCAGTGCTAAGGGCAGGCAGAACTGGGTTCTCCGGACAAGCTTTGCTGTCTACTGGCTTTATGTATCTGCATAAATTACTTAATTCCTCCACTCTTAAGCTCCTCACTTGGAGAATACATTGGTTTTCTTCTTCAGCTGGCAAAGAGAACGATGAAATTAAAAAAAGAAATGATGTTGCTTTGGAACGTCCCTCTCTCTTGAAATCAAGGCAGTGACACAGAGGTGAAGGAAGGCCCAGGGGCCCTGGGTGTGTCTGTGAGATTACAGGTCGCCAAGCCATCAGATCCACGGATGACAGGAAGGCTGGGATGGAGGAATGGGTCTCCCGTGCGCGCTGTGTTCTGAAGGGTCACCCGGTGTCTTGTACCCAAGGGCTGACTGGGAGATGACCTCCTTCCCTATGCTGTGCTTAGAGATCAGACAGATCCACCTCCCTCCTGAAGTCCGCTTAGACTCCCATTAATTCCTCTGCTCCGAGTTCTCACCCTAGACCAGCATTCGGAGTTCCCATTAGGGTGATTTCAGATTTTTATGTCCTTCCTTTAAATTCCGTATCTTTTAAGCCAGCATACAATCCGATACCAAATCAGGAAGCAAGGTTTCTCTGGTGCCAGTTTTCACCAGGAAGCCAGAGAACTCCGAAACCTCCATGACTCACACAAGCATCCCTTCCCTGTCACGAGTTAGCAGCAGCTATGGTCCAGCTCTGGGCATCTTCTTCCTCCTCCCCCTTCCCCTAGTACGAGGAACCGAAGGGCAGCCCAGGAGTACCGCAAGAGCCCTGCATGAGCCCAGTGCCTCTGCTCAGGTGTGATGAGCCCCTTACCGTGCATCATGCAGAAGAATGGCCTTTCCTTACAGGATGTAGAGGCTCATCCAACCTTCCCACAGGATGTAGAGGCTCATCCAACCTTCCCACAGGATGTAGAGGCTCACCAACCCTAGGGACGGGCCTAGGTAAAGATCTTTTACAGGATCCAGCGGAAAAATGCTGAGAATAACCAGAATCAACATCCAATCACACACAGTAACCGAAACACGCCACGGTTCTGCCTGTGTAGACCATTGACCTGGGAAACTAGCTCACGAGTGTGCTGGGGTACATGGGGATAGCAACTACCCCGTGTTGGTGAAGTTAACAACCGGGTTCAGGACTCAGCCAGCCTTTGAGGCAAGGGGTAGATGGTTTTGGAGAGGGGAGAAGAATTCAGTACAAGGCCTTAGCAAAGACCTCCTGGTGTGTGTTTGTGTGACCTGTCACAGGGTCCAAAGGACAGCAAGCCTGGCTGGTTTTATTTTTCAATTACTTTTAAACCCTCTGAGCTCAGTGAACCCTGAACGGATTCTTGTTAAGCACTTTGTCCTACTTAATATTTAAGCCTGCGTATGCTTAACGTGAAATTTAAGCTAGGTAATCTTTGGGCTTGCAGGTCATCGAAATACAAGAAACACAAAAACCCGGCATGTTAGGAACAGCTGATGTCCAAGAAAGCTTCTCCAGCCACTTTTCATACCAACAGGAGGTTACATTTTGTCAAGTCTGCCCCTTTGCATGTTGTCGGTCCAGAAAAGGAATGATGGAGTCAGGCTTTGTTCCCCGGCAGGCATTGCCCACCTCTATGTGAGTTCATGAAAGGGGGGCACTAGAGTCCTGACTGAAAAGCAGACCACTGCACTCCCATTAAGGAAAAGCTGCATTTTTGTTTTTTATCTGTGGGTACACCCACCTTGTTTCTCTGCCACGGAAAACAAGCTGATGCTTTCCCAGGATAAAAACACATAAAACTTAAGAAATTCAATAAAAATAATTTCGGACTTTTAGGAAGTCCCTAAGCTGAGCTAACTAGGGGAGGGAAAGTGAATACTAAATGGGTTTATTTTTCTTCAGAAAGGATCCGTGGCAGGTGGAAGACCCTATTTTTGAGAATTGGGAAAGAAAAGGATATTGTGTAAACAGGAGTGGGCCAGCAAAAGTGTTGGGTGAAAATTGTTGTGAGAGTTAAAAATATCTCTGTATTTAATTTCGGCCAGAATTATGTAGATATAATATTGTTTATCCCAAAATATAAGTAACATTTATATAATCAGCGTAGATTAATTTTAGCTGGAATTATTGGTACTGCACTAATAACTAATATATTATGATACATAATTTAATACAAATTGTATAATACACATGGTATACATTTGGCAATACATAATATATATATAAGCATATATATACGCTATAATCTATATGACTTACAAATACCTGTAAAACAAATATAAACAACATGTCACAGTTTTGACAGTTTAGAAGTTTTGCCCCTGGCTCTGGACACAGGGAGGTGGTATTTCATCTACAAGGATGGTGGCGTTGGCCATGCCTGAAGAAACACACAGGTGTACTCAACACCTGGGCAATACTGGTCAGGGTGCTGAGAGGAAGCAGAAAGAGTGGGCTCATCCTAAAGCGAGGAAAGCAGAGCGTTGCACCACAGCGGGAGTAGTGTGTGCTCCCAGAGCGGAAGCAGCATCACGTGAGATTTTGTTAGACACACACAGTGTGTGTGGCTGGTGGAGGAGTACAGTGCTGCCTTGAGTCAGCGTTGGGAGCTTGAATGGGTCACTTCTCCATGGCCCCTCTGTGTGTCTAGGTGTCCTCCTGGAAGGACAAGCGGGAGTGCTCACCTTGCAGGACTACAGTGATGGGGTACCGTGTGGAAAGCACGTGGCTGGGTATGGCTGGAGTGTGGCTGGAGAGCACGTGGCTGCCACGTCAGCATGCTCTGTTATCTATGCCGATTCTGTTGGTTCTCCCCTGAACTACTGTGCTACGGGTACCCAAGTCTTTACCACCATTGCTTACCACTCGTTACTTTAATCTATAACATGCACCTTCTCCGCCTGGGGTGCTTCCAGACCTATTCCTGCCTGCTCTCTCCTTACACGTTTCTTCTAAACGGCCCCCAGCTTCCTGGCCCCTCACAGGTTGCTCACTGTCAACAGGGATAGTCCCAGTGTGCTCTGCTTGGCTCCCCAGATCAGCTACCCACAAGAGCCTGCGCCTCTCCGTCAGAAGATGTTTCTCCCTGGTGACTCTTTTCCAGTTTCCTGCAGTTCATGACTCATCCCCGGTGCTACCAAGGCAACTATCCTCTCCTCTTCATGCGGCCAAGTGCCTTCTGCCTACTGATTAGGTTCGCTCCCAAACTGGAATTTTCTTTCCTTTATCTGCAGAAAACAAGTGGCCTTCTGCAGAATGAACTTACGGGTTCATGCTCCGTGTCTTTCTTGACTAGAAGCAGGGGAGGGCAATCCTGACTTCTCTATTCAATATTCTCCAGCGAAGATATCAAGGTTGTGAGACTTATAATGCAAACCTGTAAGTCTTGACAGCTTGAAAAACCTGGGAAACTAAATGTTATTTCCAGAGGCTCATTCGGCTTTAGTGGGGTATTAACCTGGAGGGTTTAGAGAGAGGAAGTCATGTGACAGTGCCCTTGTATCTAGCTTGTGGAAAACTATTCATGTCTCGTCAGAATTTAAGCCATGTGGGTTGCGGAACCACAAAAGAAAAAAAAGTCAATGGCTACGATGTTAATATGTATAAAACGGGAGTGTAAGAAGCAGATATTTTTTTAATGTTATGCATTCATTTAATGTGTGTGTGTGTGTGTGTGTGTGTATGTGCATCACCGTGCATGCATCGCCCATGGTGGCCAGAAGGGGGAGATCATCCAGTCACCCCCTGAAACTGGAGCTGCAGATGGCTGCAAGCTGTCCTGTGGGTAAAGAAAATCAAACGCGTGGGTCTCCCGAAATAACAACAAGCGCTCCTAACCACTGAACCGTCTCTCCAGCTCCCAAGAAGTATACTTCTTAAAAGGAGGCTGCAGGAGAACAGACGGAGTAAGCCAAGAGCACGTTCGTAAAGTGTGAAGCAAACAGCCAGACTGATTAATGCAAGGCAGGTGACGGGTCTTAGCGGAGCAACGGGCAGGGGGCCGTCCTCCGAGCAAGCACTGACCACGCTGACATCTGGTCTGGGTGAGACTTGAGGAGCACATAGGAGGAAAAGTATTAACGGCAAACCAGTAACTGTGTAACCGATGTGAAATGTGTTAACTGCAAACCAGTAACTATGTAACCGATGACTGGTCAGCAGTAAGAATGAGCAGGAGTACCTGCTTGAGGCTGATGACAAATGTGTGCAGGTCGATAGGGAAGAAAAAAATGCCCAATAGGCAAGGTGGATAGACGGAGGGCATAGGCAGCAGTAGTTAGGAGATAGATGGAATGCAGATAGATGGCAGATGAATAGGTTATTTGTTGCATCTACCAAAATAGACGATAGATGGTAGGTAAAAGATAGACGATTGATAACCGGCTGATAAATGACTGACAAATCACACACACACACACACACACAGAGAGAGAGAGAGAGAAAGAGAGAGAGAGAGAGAGAGAGAGAGAGAGAGAGAGAGAGAGAGAGAGTTTCAGAAAAGAAAAGAATATAAAGGCGCCTCGAGTTCAGTTCGACTTAGACCAGATCACATAGAGCAGAGAGGATGGGCAGTGTTGTGTATTGGGAAGAGTTCAGCTTAGAGCAGAGAGGATGGGCAGTGTTGTGTATTGGGAAGAGTTCAGCTTAGAGCAGAGAGGATGGGCAGTGTTGTGTATTGGGAAGAGTTCAGCTTAGAGCAGAGAGGATGGGCAGTGTTGTGTATTGGGAAGAGTTCAGCTTAGAGCAGAGAGGACGGGCACTTCTGTGTATTGGGAAGAGTTCAGCTTAGAGCAGAGAGGATGGGCAGTGTTGTGTATTGGGAAGAGTTCAGCTTAGAGCAGAGAGGACAGGCACTTCTGTGTATTGGGAAGAGTTCAGCTTAGAGCAGAGAGGATGGGCAGTGTTGTGTATTGGGAAGAGTTCAGCTTAGAGCAGAGAGGATGGGCAGTGTTGTGTATTGGGAAGGACATGGGTGCATCTCCCGAAAAGTCTTCACACCTCCTACCTCCTCTAGCACCCAGCTGAGCCTTCCCCTGTAGACTTCAGGGCCCTCTTCTGCAGTCTGTCACTCCCTGAGGCAGTGTTGACGGTCTTTTTTTTTTTTTTTTTTTTTTTTTTTTACCTAGCTCTCTCTGAGTCAACAGGAGCGATGCATTTCCACCGGTGGTGGGACTATTCCGGACTCTTCCCCTTCAGTGTGGGCTGTTTACTTCCTCCTCACTTCCTCTTCCTGCCTCCTGCTCAGATCACTGTGGCTGTGCCTCGGTGGGGGTGGGTTGACCCTTTCTCTGCAGTGCCTTTTGCCAATGAGCTCTCTGCTCTCTCCTCTCTCTCTCTCTCTCTCTCTCTCTCTCTCTCTCTCTCTCTCTCTCTCTCTCTCTCTCGGGGCTGGAATTCTTAGCGAGGGCTGTGGTGGTAGCAATGGTTTCATTCTTGGAAAAATTTTGGTCCATGTAGTCTGTACTGGGCACTTTGCCAGATGGCCAGGGATTCGAAGGTAAAACGCCACACCTACTGCCTGGAAGGGGGACCTTCAGGGGGGCCAGTTTTTCTGGGTGCTCTGGATCCACCTGTAAGCAGCACACATGTCTGTCCCTCTTTCTTTCAGGCCATAGCAGAGCCCCACGGTAGCCAGGTGGGTGAAGGGGAGCGAGGACGTGCCACCTTGCCCTGCAGAGGATTCCTGACCTACAGAGTAAGCGACCAGGTAGAAAGGGGCTTGGAGGGCAGAGGGTTCTAGACTGGGGGCAGGGCTTGGAGGAGAGAGGAGACGGGCCATCCCCGAGGCCCACGTTCCTTGGCTGCTGTCTTTCCCTCAGAAAGGGGCCCACTGCACTTCTGAGCTGTGCGCTTGCAAGAGGCCACGGTTCCCAAAACCCTGACTGCTGGGAAGCAAGCCCTGCTCATGCCACTGACCCCAGAACCAGGTGCTCGCACAGGCTTGCAGCCAGCGAGCACTTAGCAGAGACAGGAAATCACACAGTTCATCCCGGAGCCAGGCCAGCTCCCCAGCCAGGGCAAGCAAGGGAGACACAGAAGCACCACGGTGCTACCTCCCAGGGAACGAGGCCGCAGTCCCCAGGACCTGGAGGCTGCTGCTGGGTGAGCATCTCTCCTGCATGCTGGACACTCAGCGTTTCACCCGTCCAGGGAAACTTAAGCCCTTGCTCTGGTCTCAGTGGGTTGAGTGGCACGCGGCGCGTCCGCCCCCGCCGTTTCCCTTCCTTTCTGTCTTTCTCCTTAAGTACATCCTGTCACTTGCACGTAAGCCGTGTCTGTCTTCGGCAGGGCACTCCTGTCTCCACATTCAGGCGTGCCGGCGTGACCTTCCCAAGCCTCAGTGGTGTTGCTTTTTTTTCCCCCCTCACTAAGAAGCGTAGTCCTGTGCCCAAGAAGGGAGGTCCCGTGCTCCCCCGCGATGCCCCTGGCTTCTAAATAACAGGTCCCAGGAAGAGTGAAGCAGGCGTCAAGAAGTTAAAGCTCAGAGTAAGGCCCGGCCTTTCCTTGCCATGAAATCAAGGCCGTGCCTTTCCAAGAAAGGGAAGAGGTCATTGTTCAGTGAGAGGTAGGCCTTTCACACTGAAGCAGGAAGACTGGATGGCCCAGGGGCTCCGTTTCACATTCTGAGCAGGTGCTGCTCCTCTGATGGGGACCGTTGCTGTTTCAGTGAAAGGATTTGCCTACATTCATTCCAGAACTTCTATTGGCATAATGTCCCCTCCCCACCCTTCCAGGAAGATTAGCGTCTGAGTCTGAAGCCCCTGAATACCCACCTATTCTTAAGATACCAGTGAGGTAGGGTAAAAGACACGGCCAGCCGGGTAGAGTTACTCTGCAATTGCCAACATTATCTTTTTCGGGGAATGTAGGGATGATCATCCGTCTCCGTCAGCCGGGGTGCTATAAGATGCTCTGTGGCCTCGCAGTCAGCTCTTCTCTGGCTGTTGGGTAACGAATGATGCGGGGTGAAGCCTCCCAGGGGCCGAGCTGGGAACGCAGTGGCTGCTCCTGGGTAGGTTTTTATTTATTCATTTTTTTCCCTGCGACTACATTAGTTACCCTACATAGCCCTTCGTTTTTAGATACACTACATACCCTTTCGTTTGTTCTTAAAATAGACTCCGCCGCCTGGTTCTATTTTGATCTGAAGAACGGGGCAGAATTTTGTGTATACCTAAATATCACACCTAAAATGATATCGGCGGTGCTTGTCTAAGAATAACCTGCATGGCAACTGAGACCTTAAGAAAGTTTAGTTACTTGCTATTAGTGGGGCTGTGGTTGCTTGATAATTTGACTTTCCCCAAATGCCATCAGAACCAAGAGAAGCCATAGATATTAATTATTCATTGGATGGGGGAGGCAAATGAATTGCTCTAAAGAATGTTAGTCAAAAGGAAGGTCTAAAAATGTATTTATTAATACTACGTTGGCTCTGAGGACTTTCAGTAATATTCTCTACTGCTATACCAAAACTGTTTTAGTGGTGGCTGATCTAACATGTGTAAGATCATTTGCAAAATCAGTTCTGGATCTGGTCAAGCAAGTTTTAAGTACTATCGTGGTAAATCATTAAAGCTAACTATGAATAGATACGGGTAACATTTTGCAAGACATTTGCATAACCTTTTGTATAGTCAAGAGAAAAGTAACTAATTTTGCTTTTTAGAATAAGGCTTTGTTTAGAAGCTAACCTAACCATCAAAAAACCTTGCAATATAGGAGTAAGGCAACCGTAGCTCTTGTCCACTTAACACAAACGCAGTTACCTGGGAAAGAGCAATGGCAACTGAGGATTGCCCCCGCCAGGCTAACCTGTAGGCATATCTGTGAGGCGTTTTATTGACTGATGACTTATGTTGGAGCTCCCATCCCACCGTAGGCAGTGACATCCCCTAGGCAGTTGGGCCTGAACTGTGTGAGAAAGGCAGCCGATCAAGACAGAGGAAGCAAACCAGTAAACAAGAGTTTCCCCGCGGTCTCTGCTTCAGTTCACGCCTTGCGTTTCTGCCCAGGCTTCCCTCGTGGTGGCCTGTAACCTCTAAGATGAAATAAGCCCGTTCCTGCAAAAGGTTGCTTTTAGTCGCTTAAGTGACAAAAAAAGCAAGCCAGGGCAGGAGTTGGTTCTGAGAGTGGGCTGAAAACCCACGCAGGCGTTAAAGGGCTTGCTCCCACTTTAAAATTTTAAAGAGTCGAGGTCTAGAGGGGTGGAAGGCTTGAGCTGAGTCACACAGCTAATCAGCTGACGAATCGGCGGTCCCCCCTCCACCCGTGCGAGCTCTCCCGAGAAGCCCTCGGTCCCTTACTCAGCTGCCCTCGCCACACTGGCACAAGTCCGCTAGCCTTGACTTCACAGCTCCACTTTCTTAAGTCCACACTGGCCTTCCCTTCTCCCTCCTGAGTTCTCCTCAGTCCATCTGAACTACTGAGGGGCTGAAGATACGGGGACAGCTGCACCTGTCCTGGGCGCACGCAATCTTCTTGCGATTACCCCCCCAAGCAGACAACACAGCAGCTACCTCTCTGCATACCACGCGCATGGCGCTAAGTTTCGTGAGTCATCGAGGCAAGGTTTAAAGCTCTGAGAACGAGACGCACAGATTGCACGCAGATAATTTGCAGATAATCCACTACAGAGTTTTGTATCCGCGGGGCAGAGGGCAGGGTGGGGGGCGCTGAGGGCTAGAAACAGGGGAGGTCCCTGGAAACTGACTTAGCTTTGCTTCCTGGTGCTATGTTGAAATACCCTGACAAAAGCAACTTTGGGGTGGGGTGGGAGTGGGGCTCTGGGGAGAGGGCTCAGCAGTTAAGACAGCCAGCTGCTCTTGCAGGGGACTGGAATTCAGCTCCCAGCTCCCAAGTCACACACTCACAGTCACAGGTAACTCTTCCAGCTCTGGGGACCTGACTCCCTTTCTGCCCCCACCCGGGTATAAGAAAGTGGAGAAAGGACTCGTTTGGACTCAGAGTTCCAGATTACAGTCTTAACTGAGGGGAAGTCAGAGACGCAGGGGCTTGGTACAGCCAGTCACGTCAGGTGGGCCCTGGAGAAGGAGAGCAAGGAATGTATGGTTGCTTAGGTCCCCTTCTCTAGTATTCTGCAGTTCAGGATCCCCGGCCTAAGGGATGGCGACACTTATAGTGGGTGGGTCTTCCTGCCTCCCCAATTAAGATAATTATGAAAGTCCACCATAGACATACCCATGGACCAACTTGTCCCAGACAATCCCTCGCTGAAACTCTCTTCCCACGTGATTTCAGATTGTGTTGAATTGACACTTAAAACGGACACAGATACCAAGGGACAATTGAGCATTCACAACCTGATGGTAAATAGAATTATGATTGCCGCATGTGGTAGATCATAGTCAAAATGTAATGAAAGGATTCTGCTGTTACCTTTTTCTACTTCCTGGAAGTTCCACCAAAGAAAAGTTGTAAGACACATCCTTGCTGTTTCTTTCAGGTGCTCCAAGGAGCCTGAAAATGGACACCATGCACGTTGGCATGTCCAGTGCCCCTCTGGTGAAACATTCCAATGGGGTTGGACTCAAGGCCCACAGGCCTCGAGTCATGTCTAAGAGTGGGCACAGCAATGTGAGAATTGACAAGGTCGATGGCATCTATTTGCTCTACCTTCAGGACCTGTGGACAACAGTCATTGACATGAAGTGGCGATACAAGCTCACCCTGTTTGCCGCCACCTTTGTGATGACCTGGTTTCTGTTTGGAGTGGTCTACTACGCCATAGCTTTCATCCACGGTGACTTGGAGCTTGGGGAGCCTAACTCGAGCCACACGCCCTGCATCATGGAAGTGGATTCTCTCACGGGGGCGTTCCTCTTTTCCCTGGAATCCCAGACAACCATTGGCTACGGGGTCCGTTCCATCACGGAGGAGTGCCCTCACGCCATTTTCCTCTTGGTTGCCCAACTGGTCATTACCACGTTGATTGAGATCTTCATTACCGGGACCTTCCTGGCCAAAATTGCAAGACCCAAAAAGCGAGCCGAGACCATCAAGTTCAGCCACTGTGCTGTCATCAGCAAGCAGAACGGGAAGCTATGCCTGGTCATCCAGGTGGCCAACATGAGGAAGAGCCTCCTGATCCAGTGCCAGCTCTCGGGAAAGCTCCTCCAGACGCACATCACCAAAGAGGGAGAGCGCATCCTCCTCAACCAGGCCACCGTCAAATTTCACGTGGACTCCTCTTCTGAGAGCCCCTTTCTCATTCTGCCCATGACTTTCTACCACGTGCTGGATGAGACAAGCCCCCTGCGGGACCTCACGCCCCAGAACCTCAAAGAAAAGGAGTTTGAACTGGTGGTCCTCCTCAACGCCACCGTGGAATCCACCAGCGCCGTCTGCCAAAGCCGGACATCGTACATCCCAGAGGAGATCTACTGGGGCTTTGAGTTTGTGCCCGTGGTTTCCCTCTCCAAAAACGGAAAGTATGTGGCTGACTTCAGTCAGTTTGAACAGATCCGGAAGAGCCCGGATTGCACCTTCTACTGTGCGGATTCTGAGAAGCAGAAGCTAGAGGAGCAGTACAGGCAGGAGGACCAGAGGGACCGCGAGCTGAGGAGCCTCCTGTTACAGCAGAGCAATGTCTGACCCCGGCCTGTCTCTGGGCACCTCCAGAGCTGTCTCCTCCCCCAGGGCTCCTCTCGAAAGCAGTGGCTGCTGTGAACGTGGGATGGGTGGAACCTGATACCAAAACCACACAGATGTTCATTGGGATAGATGGACCTGATACCAAATCACACGGACATTCACTGGCATAGGTGAACCTGATACCAAACCACACAGATACCCATGGCCCATATTCTTCTTCGTTCTGTTGGCTGAACAGGCATCTTTAAATATAAAAGGATTTCTTCAGAGTGCCTGGTCAGAGATAAACACTCAAATTCAGATACACACACACACACACACAGACACACACACACACACACACACACACACACCACTAAAATGGAACTCTATATCGAAGAGCTGAATGTAAAAGATGGAGAGGATCCCTGCCCCGGTGACGGGCGTGCGGCAATGTTAACAGCGAACGAAATGTATGTCTGTAGAACATCAGCTTATAATGCAAAGTATTTATTTAACCCCCCATATCAAGGGCGTCACCAGTGGCCCAGGTGGGAGGCATGATTCACTACCCACTTCTGTCGCTGCCTACGAATCTGCTGCTCCTTCTCATGTTCAAGTATGTAAGCTGTGTGTGTAATGATGATTGTCTGGTAATGGCCAAAACGTGTTGGGGAAGCAGGGACTTCCAGCTTGAAAAATACAATCACTTTGTTTTTACATTTTTCCGTGGACTTAATTGTGTGGAGGGAAAGTAACCACATCGGGATCTAGGAGCTCTGAAAATACGTCCATGTCTTGATCCTATTGTCCTCATTCCTTTCTGGGGGAAGCATGTACTAGCCTCTTTTTTTTCCCCCTTCAAAATGTCCTTCACAGACAAGTCCAACAGCACCGATTAGGGACTTATTGGCGGCAGACACAGTCAGGTTCCAGCCAGGCTTGTGGAGCAATGGTACCATGAGCTCTGCTCTGAGTGATGCTGTCAATGTCAATTTTCTAGATCCACATGGGGAAAATGACTGTGTGGGTCCCAGGATCCACACGGCCAGATCTGCACTCCTGTCGGTGTTGTTAGTCAGTGTTAACTCTCAGACATTTCAGTGACCCCCCCATACCTTGGCCACAAAGAAATTGCGCAAAATTACTGATGTCTTAGGCTCTCTGAGAGCTGTGATTGCCACAACCATGATAAGTACGTGGCTCGTTGATTATAGTCACCACAAAAGAAAATTGAAACTGTGTCACAATATAGGACGTCTGCATAGGTGACGCTGCCTGTGGAGGCTGGGTGACAACGGGAAGAAGAGTTGTGGAGGGAGAGGACCCCTTGTTCAAGGGCCTAAAGCACATTCTGAGTATCCAAACATGCCTCATACAACCCAGCATTACAGGGGAACGCTTTGCCTCTAAAAAAAAAAAAAAAAAAAAAACCTAGTGTAAGGCCTTCGGTTTTTTTTTTGAGGAAAGAGAGTAGGTGGCCAGGAGTTGGCTAAATATGTAAAAGGTGTGTGCTCCTTTGTTTAAATCAGGACAAACTGTAAATTAACTCAAGCACCATGTGACCATGAATGTGCAGTCAGCACACACACACACACACACACACACACACACACGTGTGTGTGTGTGTGTATGTGTGCACGCAGACACACAAGTTTCATACAATAGGCTAATGTGTGTCCTGGCTTTGTAGACATAAGCCGTCAGACATAACACTTAGGAAAGTCCACCACAGTTACCTTTGTGTTTATTTGATTCTATAAGAAAATGAACACTCGGGCTCAGAGAAATTGGGGAGACATTAACTGGATCCAGCTGTTGGTGTGAACCGCTGCACATCTGGCCGTATCTTCACGTGGCCACGTTTGCAAGTCTCCTTCCTTTAAACAACAATGATGCGTGGAAATAAAATCTTTGGATTGGAGCTGAGCTAATGAAGTGAAAGTCGGGGACTCATGGAGGAAACGTTTGTGGAATAGTTTCTATTAGCAAAGGCAGGGTTCAGGGCAGGCAGATGGCTCAGTGGTAAGAGCATGAGGTCACCGGTTCAAATCCTCAATACCCATCTAAGAAGCCAGGGAGGATTTCACGTGCGGGTAACCCACATGCTGCTGGGAGCTGAAACAGGAAGCACGCTGGGGCTTTACTGGCTGTCAGATGAGCCTCAGGCTGGGTATGAGACCCGGCCTCGGGGGAATAAGGCAGAGTTGACGGACAGACACAGTGACCTACTCCTCTGGCCTCCAGGCACACACACACACACACACACACACACACACACACACACACACACCTCTCTGTCTCATACATACATTTGTATCTCTCTCTGACACACACAAACAACTGGGGGGGAGGGAGAGAGAGAATATTTTTCTGTTCTTGATTTCATGGCAGGCTGTTTTAGGTTGCCACTCTTCAAAAACTATTGGATGTTTGCCTGTTTAGACACTAGTCCCCCTATCTACTAGTCCTTTGCATTTGAATTGTATATTACAGTAGGATCAATAGGAAAAATGTCACCACAGAGTTGTTCGTGGTGGCTTTTCTATTGCATTAGGAACTTCCTCACCCAAAATCTACCGTGGTGGCCATCTGAATCTGACTAACACCAGTCAACGTGGCTCATTTCTGTTGTATACGGTACAATGATGGCATCGGACTCGAAAATCCTCTCTGTATAATCACCGGGGATATTATTTTCACCCATATTTGGAATATCTGATTATTTGATTTATTTTCAATACACACAAACATATGTAGTGCCTTCAAAACCCATGTATGGACCAGGTGTGCTGGCACATGCCTATAGTCCCAGCACACGGGAGATAGAGGCGCAAGAATCAAGACTTCAAGGCCAGCCTTGATGACATAACGCCTACACTGTATGAGCTCCTCTATTTAAAAAAACAGTAAGAATGTACAGATCAAGAATCATTTTGTCACATCATATTTAATAAATTATTCTGGAGTTGACCGGTTCGAAACAACATTTCCAGAATCACTTAGTTATTACTGCTTTGACTCACACGTTCTCGTGTTAATACACTAACTGAAGAGTTAAGTGGTAAACTTCCTGGATGCTACCTAGGCAGGTTTCTGATAGAAGCAGACTCGTAAATGAGTCATCAAAACAATGGAGTGGGTAGCTTTGCAATTTGCAGAAACCCAATGCATCCACCTTCTCGATGGCTGTTCAAAATGGGCTTCATTTTGGAGGCCACAGGACCAACCACGGCGGATCGGTGTATACCACAAGCCGTTTCTTCCGCCTCGCTGCCTGTGACCCCAGAAGCCAGAGGAGAGATGCGCCCTCTGCCCCGCACAACGAGCCACCTTGGGCTGAGGGTGGGAGCTAAAAATTGATTCTTTTTTTTTCTCTTTTCATTCATGGGGAGATTAACAATGCAGTCTTTGAATATCTACAATTGATGCATAATGGTAAGAAAAAATAATAGTATTCACTAGTGAACCAAATATTTAGATAAATGTAAACATCCATTTTGTTTGATCTTTATTTGAATTAAATTTCTACTTTGAATTGGCTCTGGTTTTGACATCACTGAATTGTAAAATTGGTATATTGGTGTATATATATATATGTATATATATATATATAATTTATTTATATTTATATATGCCATTCACTCCAGTGTGCAGACGCCTTCTTATTCTAATGTAATTCTCTCTCACATCCTTGTAACACATGGAAAGAAGAAAGACTAGAAAGAATGGAAATGGGGAGAGAAAGTGAGGGAACATGGTGTGTTGGGAGAGGTTTGGGGTTGGGGTGGGTTTCTGTAGGACCCTCGCCACTGGCTCATCTTAGGTGTTGATTCTGTGCCTGGTGACCATGGGCTATGATGGATGGATGCATGACTATCCTACTTCCTAGAGTTTTTTTTTTCCATATACACTGCTCAAAAGAGTCATTTCAGACTGGCTCACCCTGGTTTTCCCTGATGAGATTTGAAACACTAAATCTACTCTGCCTCAAGTCTTGATTCATACTTCCTTCATACTTGTAAGGCAGCATGGGACAGTGACCGGCCATGAGGTGCACTTGAGTTTTCTCACCCCTCTAAGATATCCCTTTAAGGCCTAGAGCTCTCCCTTTCACTTCTGGAGGCTAACTACACACTCTGTCCATGTGGCCGCCATGTTGCCTTTAAACCGGATTGCTTGTCCACCGATCTTCAGGTCTGTGGCTGGCAGTGGGTGGTTACTTGCTTCTGAACGATGGCATCTGGGCAGCCCTGAAGTCTCCGGAGTTCAAATCTGTAGCAAAATGACAGGGGCTGGAACTTGGCTGGGATTTTAAAGAATAAAGGATTTACCTGGTTTCCTGAGTTGCTACCATCAGCCGGTCTTCAGGTTGAGCCATCATTTTGTTTACTTTTTACAGGAATGGGAAACATGGTCTCTGGCTTCAGACTAAGAAAGGAAGCCAGGAAAGTGTAAGAAACGCACTGGAGAGTTGGAGAGATGACTCAGTACAGTGCTGGTCCTGTTACATGAGGACCTGAGTTCCATCCCTACAACTTGGGAATGAAAGATCCAGGCGTGGTGGCATGGGTTTGTAGTCCTAGAAATAGGGAGGCAGAGACAGACAAATCTCTGACTCACTGGTCAGCCAGCCTAGCTGACTTGGTGCATTCAAGGCCAATGAGAGACCCTATCTCAAAGAACAAGGCAGAAGTCTGACCTCAGCGTCCATTCTTCAGATGCCCCACCCCCACCCCACTCAAGACGGTTATTTGCTGTCATGTTACAGCAAGCTGCCATCAAGCCCTTCTGAATTCCAGGATTTTCCTAGAAACACCAATGGATACAGTCCAGGCTCTTTCCAACGCTTTGTCAGTGTGCAAGCCATAGAAGAATCAGAGAAGCTTCATCTAGCAACTGATGGGATCAGACACAGAGACCCACAGCCAAGCAGTAGACAGAGCTCGGGGGAACCCTCGAGGAAGGTTTGTAGGAACCAGAGGGGCCAAGGACACCATGAGAACACAACCCACAGAATCAACTAAGCAGGGTTCATAGGATCTCACAGAGATGGATGTGTCAATCACAGAGCTACTATGAGTCTGAGCTGAGTCCCCTGCATAAACATTATGGTTGTGTAGCCTGTTATGCTGATGGAACTCCTAACAGTAGGAGTGAGGGCCGTCTCTGACTCTTTGCCTGCTCTTGGGACCCTTTTCCGCTTACTGGGCTGCCTAGTCCAACACTGATTAGGAGGGTGTGTGCCTAGTCTTGTTATGACTTGGTTTGTCACGTTTGGTGGCATCCCTGGGAGGCCTGATGTTTTCTGAAGGGAACTGGAGGAGGAGTGGGCCTGGGGAAGAGGGGAGGTGGGAGGGCTGGAGGGAGGGAGGGGAAACGTCAGTAGGGATGTGATGTATGAGAGAAGAATAAAAGGAGGAGGAGGAGGTAAAAATTAAGCTTCTCACCCCAACTTCTGTTTGCAGTCACATTCTGTGTCCTTGGCACCTGATACACTGTCCATCCCACTTAGGTCATTCTTTTATGGGTTTAACAAAACAAACAAACAAAAAGAACATACTAGAGCTTGACCCCAGGGGTGGTGGTGGTACACGCCTTTAATCCCAACACTCAGGAGGCAGAGGCAGAGGCAGGCGGATCTCTGTGAGTTCGAGGCCAGGCTGGACCGACAGCCTCCAAAACAATACAGAGAAACCCTGTCTTGTAAAACCAAAAAA